GTCACAGCCTCAGTGGCACCAGACAGACACAGACAAAGGCCAGGTGGGGCCAGTGACATCCAGAGATGATTGAGTGGAGAAAGAAGCTAACACCCAAGGGACACACCAGATAAGGACACAGAGGACTGAACACATGACAGAGGTCCCTTGCTATCAAAAGGGTACCTAAATCCCTCCTGCTCATGATGCCATTGCAGGGAGGAGAGAAGGAGAAAGCTCTTGAAATGGGAAATATACCCCAATATGAAATACGCACTGCTAAGTGACTATTTTTAAATTGTGAATTGACTGAAAGAGATCAATTTTAAACAAGCATATCCTGAGCTACCCTGAAGTGACAAAATTAAACTTTTGGCCCTCAATGGATGCTCACAAGCAAGTTGAATTTGATCCTATGGAAACAACATATATGTGTGAACATCCAAATTGTAGCATGTAATTTTTAAGACTTTTCATGCTATGATAATTTGTGCAGCAACATAGATCCTATAGAGAGTACATTGTCTTCCTAGTGAGTGCCACCACATGTTTGCATACAGGCTACATTTACACTATTACAGGATCAAGGCTGAAAGCCACATGTTAAAAATGAAAATAATCACTGTTAATGTTGCATAGCAGTATTCCTTCATGAAAAGCAAGGACTCTGAAAACAAGACATTCAAAATGTGCTGCTGCTGTATACTTTATTTGCAAAGGACCTGTTATCTGAATACTCATGAAAAACAAGAAAAGAATCAACCTGGTTCGTATTTATACCTATGGACATGCTGTGGCATAGAAAAATCAGGACGATATTTTCTCAACACTGCCCAGACAAATTATGCAGGCTATCTGCATGTTGACCTGATAGACAAGGGRTAATAAAAAGTTTGACTTTAAGGTTCCAACTCCAGGTAGGATATAACGGAATACTACTCTAAAATCTGGGCAGAATACTTGCAGCAACTATTTAAGAACTGAAAAACAACAATAACAGGCAGACATGAGAATTCAGAAGGCCACTGAACCAGCAATGAGTTCATGTTTTTTCCCCTGGCATCCTCTGGTCAGGACCTGAGAAGTGAGCATCAGCTCTAACAGAGAAAATTCCAGGAAAAGTTTCTGGTTACAACTTAAGGAGCAGGACAGGGAGTTCTGGCAGCAACACTAGCAACAGTGAGGGAACTCGAAATTTTTAAACCTAACTTCTTTAATAGCTATGAAACTATTCAAGTTACATATTTCATATTGGATGAGTTTTAGTAATTCTTGCTTTTTGAAGAATTAATGTATTTCATCTAAGCTCTCAGGTTTACATGCCTAGAATTATTCTGTGGGGTCTGTAGTGATATCTCCTTTTCATTCCTGACATTGGAAATTTGTACCTTCTCTTTTCTTCTTTCCCTCAGTCTTCCTAGAGGCTGAATAATTTTTCCTGATCTCTTCAAAGACTAGCTTTTATTTTCATTAATTTTCTGTATTGCATATTAAGAGACACAACAACTTGAGTGAATATTATTATGCTAAGTTTAAAAAATCATTCTCAAAACTCACAAGCTGTATGATTCTCAGAAGACAAACTTACTGTCATGGAACAGATCAGTGACTATCAGTCTCTCAGGGATTAACTACAGAGAAGTTTTTGGGTGACGAAACTATTCTTTTCCAGCTATAGCACTGGTCATAAAATTGTACTTGTGTTAAAGTTCATAGGATTCTGCACCAAAATAAAGTCAATTTTACCAAATGTTAATTTAAAAAATAAAATTTAGTGTCTCTCTCCTAAATTCAAAGGACAATTARGACTTTCATTTAACAAGTATCCCAATTTAAAAATTTATACCTGATTAATTAACCATCTAATTAATTAGATTTTAATTAAATAAATATTTCTCTTCCTTTATAAATTTTATGTCATCGTAAAAGTAAACTTAATTATATCCATTTCAATAAGATTTAGAGGAAACAAGCATTCTCACACAACATTAGTGGAAATAAACTTCTAGAAGTTCCTTAAATGGAAGTTTAAACTAAAAATTTTAAGTGTGTATGTCTTTTGAGCTACTTCTAGAAATCTGTAGTACAGATGTACTTTTACAAGAAGCAAGAATTTATACAAGCATGTTTACTGCAGTATAATTTGTAATAGCAAGATCCTAAAAACAATCTCTATTTCCAAAATAAGTAAATTATATCCATGCATAAAATTAACCAGAAAACCAGTTTTAAAATAATATCAGTMCTAAATCAAAGATATTGCAAAATCTCCAAAACTAATTACTAAAAAATAAAAACGGGGAAAACAATATAAAGAGGTCAATCTCATTGCTATCTACAACAGGCCTTATATATGATGAGAGAATGTATAAATACCAAGACATTCCTGGAAGGACATGCAAAATATTGTTAATTACCCTGATCTGATCACATTGCAATTGCATCGCACTATAACCCGTAAATATGTACAATTAGCATATGCTCATTTAAATTTTTTAAATATAGTGTTAATAGTTATCTTTCTGAGTGGGCTTGAGTATATAAGGAAGAGAAGAAAGGAAATAGATTTGGTCTTCTTTTTAAACCTTTCTGAACTGTTTGAAAAACCACCAACATGATATTGCTTTTAAAACTACTAAGAAACAATAAAGCCTTCATAACAGGGTTTGTTAATCAGGACAGCTGACCTTCAGCCAACCTGGGGAAACATCATTTCTAGGAAAACCCATAATGGGAAGCTCTTAAAAGGATCAGAGCAGAGATAGGGATATCACTTAGTGGTAGAATGTGTGCTTTGCATGTATAATRAGCTGGGTTTGATGCCCCTCCCTAAAAAAAAAAAAAGGATCAGAACAAAGAACCTGAATGTCCACTTCCCTGTGTGAGTCAGATGGGAATGTGAGAACAATTTCTTCAAGGAATAACATAAGCATAGCCTAATAAAAAGCAACAGGAACATAACAGGCATGTCCCTACCTTAGTAAGACACTTCCTGGGGCTCTGCAACTCATGGATGAGTTCCTGGGGTTGGACTCAGCTTTTCTAGGTTCACAATGTATAAGCCCCAGTTTTAAATTTTTCCCAATTTATATTAAAGTTAATAGCTCCAGAATATACATTAAAGTTAATAGCTCCAGAACACAGATTCTTAATGCTAAAAGACATCATCATCAACCACAACAAAACTAGGTTTGTGATCTTGAAAAAAATCATATTTTTTTGTTCATTAGTGTACTTTGCAACACAACAGGGCACTGGGTGATGAGTAAGACCCTTGTTAGTTCCTGGAATCTGTGAGTCACCTGATCTGGTTTGGAAATTGACTTTTACACTATTCTTATTTCCAGAGTCAGATCCCATTTGTCATCAGATTGAAATTGGCCAGTGGTCAAATGCCAAACTTTAAACCATTTCTATAAAACATCACATACTTTCAGTCAGCTGTACAGTTTGCTTAACTGTGGAGACAAAGCTCTTAAAGCAGCAAAATCCTCACATGTTTTAAATATTTTATGATTTTTAATTTTTCCTTTTATTACATGTTGAACTACATTAAAAAATAAATTATATTTCAAAAATTTCTATGGTCCATGGGAAAAAAGAATCCATGACATYTAAGAACGAAAGTCAAAGAAACATTTAATATTAATTAAGACTACTTAATTAATAAAGTAATCTTAATTAATAATCTGGAAACTTACTGAAATGTTTTTAAATATATAAATAAAAATATAAACTTTTGGAAGCTAAGGAACAAAAGCTAGGTATCAACTACTTTTTTCTCAAGCATCAGTTCTCATTTTCCTGCATAGAATACTGTATGAAGTCTCCTGGGCTCTTTCTATCTTTATGGGGATGCATGCCCCAACTCTGTTTCAGCCTTGTCCCAACACTGTTCCAGCCTCACCCAACAGCCTAGCCTCCCTGGACTTTCTACACCTGCATCTGCATCTGTTCTCATCTCAATAAATCCTTCTTTGCACTGGCCAGACAGAATTTATTCTCAAAGAATGGGGGGAGGCAGATGAGGGACAAGGAGGAAGGATAAAAGAAGAAGGTTAAGGAATACATATGTTGGTTGCTAGTTTGAAGCCCTTGCATGCTCAGTCTCTTCCTTCTCCCACCTGAAAACCCTTCCCAGAATAATATCATATTTGAGAAAGAAAAAAAACCCTTAAATGATGATGGACGATATGATATATACTAATCTGATCTCCCGTGAAAAACTGATTTATCACCTACATTGCAGAATCCTGGGAAAATTGACATAGAGAGGGATAAATGGATTTGGGGGAAGGCAATGAATTTCTGAGGTGCATTTCAGAACTTCTCCTCCAAACCATAAATAAAAGCAGGTTGGCTATAGTCTGGTGCATGTGACTACAACAACAACAAAAAAAAAAAAAAAAAAAAAAAAACCCCACATCTCCCAGGACTACCTGTCAATGACTTCTTCACAACACCCCTGGTGGATGACCAAGGACTCTAGATAGAAGGTGTGTTCAGAACACCAGAACTTTAAGACAATTACCCAGAAAAACATATTTTACTTCATTTTGGGAGCTGGAGGAGTAAAATCTAATAACAAAATTTAGTAAAGCTATTGGTAAGATTTTAGTTTCCAAACACACCCGCTTCCTCCATCCCCCTCCAGACTGCACCCCACACCCTGAACCATTTACAAGCCACACTCACAATGAAAAGGAACCAGGGTTCCTGGTGATTATGTTTAAGGGATAGTTATCCATCTAATTCCAAAGCTCCTGTGTGAATATGAAATGTGAGGGCAAGATGGCAGGGAGAAGAGGCACAGAGGACAACAGGGCTAGAGACTGCAAGGGGTGCCAAGGTCCAGAAAATGGGGAAGAGGATACCCAGCCCTCACTGGGAGAGAGAAGCCCCTGCTCACCCAATATCTTCAACTCTACCCATTTTTCTCCTGGCAGGAGAAACTTTGTCAAGAAACAGAATCTATTTTTGGACATTTCATAGCAAAAGTAAAACCCCAGATTGACACTTACATTTCATTTGCTTCGAGATGGACTTGTTAGGTTCAAGCCAGTGCTAGGGAGAGAAAAAATAAAACAGATTGTGGGTCAATTTGTTGACTTAACAACTAAAAAGAATTCCAAGGTACCACCTTGGTTCCATAGATATTCTTCAATGTTCCACCCTCTAAAGACCAACACAAACAACTCAACAATAATAATAACACAGACAAGGGTATAAATTAGAAGGTCAACAGTTTCTGAGTAATATCTGAATCATACAGTTGCTAGAAGGATAAAGGAGAGATATGCACTTAAGTGGGATGTTCTAGCAACTCTAGTTGACTGTTGACTCCTGGGCAATTCTGGGAAAACCACAGATGGTTGAAGATTTGGAGCATTTGACATCCATGACCTCAAAGAGTCACAGTTTGGATAGTATCAGCACCCAGCTCCTCTTCCAGAGCAGCCTCCTCTAAGATGGATATTGAGCCAAGTCAGCATGAGCCCCATCTCACACGGAGACGATATTTTTCTTTACAGTAGCRGGGAACAAATGACTTTTAGAATCTTATTTTCAGAGGCCTCAGGTCATTAAGGAAAAAAAATCAGCTTTACCACAAAACAAAGAAGCCAAGATCTGAATAGTTCAGAATCATGTCACGGCTGGGCATTTTATTTGAAGAAGACACCAAAACGGTCCCAGTGGCCAGCTCACCCCATGCCATATACAAAGGTCATTTCAACATGCTGAGAGCCAGGCAGCTTTTGAGATCACTAAACATGATGTTCCTGAACCTGTTCAGGGAATGTCAGGAAGAGTCATCTATGCATACAGTTTATAAAGATGATAAAAAGGATACCATGGGGAATCCATCATGAGGTCAGGGAGTCCTCCCTCATGGGGCACCTGCCTGCTTGATGTTAGAGAGGAAAGAAGAGAGAAAAAAAAAAACTTACCATCTGTTACACCTCACTCTATCTCCTTTGTGTCACCTAGTAACTGCAGGGTTCCATATTATCCTTACTGTGGGAAGTCAATGCATACCCATAAAGTTCAATAAAAAGCTTGCCTTTGTTGAGCGCATACTAAGTGCSTGGTGCTCATCAAGACTTCCCATGTGCTGTCCTATTTAGTCCTCACAGCCACTTCATTTGTCAATGAGAAATCTGGGGCTCATGATGTTAAACAACTTGCCTGAGGTCACCTGATAATAAGTAGTGGAGCAGCCAGCTGTGCAGCGGGATTGCAGAGAGTAGCTCCTAACCTCTCAGTCTGTGCCCTCCCACCTGATTAGTTTGCACCGCAACACATTTATTCTCTTTGATGAACTTTCCCTGTTTTCTCTGAAACTGAAAAATTAAGTAACCAAATCAGTAGTTTCTAATATACGGTGTCAGATCTCTTTAGTCTTCAAAACAATAATGAGATTCTTCACTGTTTCAACATACTGGAAAGTCTAACAACAACAATAACAAAAAAGTACATTTACCCCAACCATGTCGCACAGACAAACTTACACAGCAAGTTTCCTTACTTCTGGTCAAAATTATATTGACTCATTTTGAGAATCCTCATTATCTCCTTCTAAGCAGAAATTACATAGTTATAATTGAACAGTAGACAACTAATTCATTATATCACTTACCAGCTCTGTAACGTTGTGCAAAATGTTCAAACTCTCTGTGTCTCAAATACCACAACTATAAAATGGAAAAAGTGATAGTACCTACCTCATGGGGCTACTGTGAGGATTTAAAAAGCTAATAAGTATAAGATACAATGCTTGGGATGTAGAAATAATAAGTGCTTGTTTGGTGCTGCCACTGGTTTTACTGAATAAGTACAATTTAATGGGTAGACCATATATTTCAATATATAGACTTCATGGAAGAGAATAATAAAAGGGTTCCCTCGATTAAATTACTTTGCTAGAAATAAATGGGATATTTTATAACTAAGGCAAGAAACAATTAACAGCAACCAGAAAGCAATACACTGCTGTTTTCTCACAGAGACCAATCATCAGTCACTTAACCAATAATATCTGAAATACAAATGTTTTCTGAATGCTCCTAGTTTGACATCTTTTGAACTCTGTAGGCCTTCTCTGCCTGACTTCAGCCTGTCTCTCCAACTCCTCTCTGGCTCAAGGAATGACAAGTCAGTTCCATTTTGTGTGCCCAYACCAGGACTGTGAAGATGGCTCTGATACAGTAGAAGGCTCAGAGATGAGAGCCATGATGGATTGGCTGTGTCTGCCAAGCCACCATAGACTTACTATAYCCATCATGCGTATTTAAAAGGACTACAGGAAAATCATTCCCTCAAAGAGGACCAAGCTTAATTTAAAACAAACAAAAACAAAAACATGCCTGGCATATGGCCCAGCAAATMATTTATTCTCCAAGTCACCCAGGTGAACAAAGAGGCATATAGCAAGGTTTTTCACTAAAAAATTACAAAAGACTAAAAGTAACATTAATGGCCAACAGGAACATGTATAAACAAACTGATCTACTCATATTCTGGATGATTCTGCAGTGTTTTAGGTGAGGTAAATCTTCAAGTGTAACAAAGATCTCTAAGGCACACTGTGGGAAAAAAAAGTGAACTGCAAAATTTATAACCATGGCCACAGTTGGCACTCCAGGGGAACATAGTCATACCAGGCATCTGTTAGCACCCTGGGAACTATGAACTTGAAGAAGTTCACGGTTCCAACATTCGATTGTGCTAGATTCCTTTTGATATCTTTTTTTTCCCCATGCTGTGATAAAAATCAASCACCAAGCTAAAATAGGAATGGAACAGACAATGAACATGGCAACATCCAATAGGGATCCCAGGGCTGCCAACAGGGACACACACACCACACCTCCCATTATTAAGTGATTGTGGTTATTTTAGAATGAACTGAAAAAATAATATTCTTGTAATTTATATATATTTAATGACTATTAAGTTGTTAACACATAAATACTTATTAAGCTATTTGGACCTAACTATTATTATAGAACTTTTATGTATTTTCTTAACCTATGAATACTGCAAAATAATTACTGAGATCCTAAGAGAGTCATAAATCAGGCGAGTTTAGGAAAATAAGAACTACTGTATCAATAATTAATGTGTTTTCTTTTTTAAATAAAAAGCACAAAACACTACCAACATATTCAAAGAGCACATACACAAACATCTAAATATATTTTTAAAGATTGGGAGAAATAAACTGAAGTGATACCAGTGAAATTGGATAATAGGGAACACAGATGTAGTAGTGTTTGTCAAAGAAAATCATGATGTCAGTATTCATCTTTTTACATGTTTTGGTGCCTTACATGAATAACTAAAAGTCAATTTTTGAATTATATTATTTATTTATTCTAATTTGTTATATATGAGAACAGAATGCAATTCAATTCATATTACACCTATAGAGCACTATTTTTCAAGTCTCTGATTGTACACAAAGTAGATTCACACCATTCATGTCTACATATATATGCTTATGGACATATATATGTCCATTTTATTCCACCATCCTCTCCTACCCCCCTGCCCCTTCTCTTCCCCTCCCTCCCCTTTGCCCTATCTAAAGCTCCTCCATTCCTCCCATGCTCCCCGCCCCCATCCCCTCTAGAGTCAGCATCCTCATAGCAAAGAAAACATTCCACCTTTGGTTTTGGGGAATTGGCATACCTCACTTAGCATAATATCCTCCAACTCTATCCGTTTACCTGCAAATGCCATGATTTTGTTCTCTTTTAATGCTGAGTAATATTCCATTGTGTGTGCGTGTGTGTGTGTGTGTGTGTGTGTGTGTATGTGTATATACACACACCACAGTTTCCCTACCCATTCATCTACTGAAGGGTATCTGGGTTGGTTCCAAAATTTAGCTATTGTAAATTGTGCTGCTATAAACATTGATGTGCCTATATCCCTGTAGTGTGCTGTTTTTAAGTTCTTTAGATATATACCGAGGAGTGGGATAGCTGGGTCAAATGATGGTTCCTTTCCAAGTTTTCCTAGGAATCTCCATACTGCTTTCCAGATTGGCTGCACCAATTTGCAGTCCCACCAGCAGTGTATGAATATGCCTTTTTCCCCACAACCTCGCCAACACTTATTGTTGTTTGAATTATTTTTTTTTAATATTTATTTTTTAGTTCTAGCTGGACACAATTCATTTATTTGTTTATTTATTTATATGTGGTGCTGAGGATCAAACCCAGGGCCTTGCATGTGATAGGTGAACATTCTACCACTGAGCCACAACCGCAGCCTCTGTTTGTATTCTTCATAGCTGCCATTCTGACTGGAATGAGATGAAATCTTAGAGGAGTTTTGATTTGCATTTCTATAATTGCTAGAGATGTTGAATTTTTTTTCATATATTTGTTGATTGGTTGTATATTCTCTTCTGAGAAGTGTCTGTTCAGTTCCTTGGCCAATTTATTGATTGGGTTATCTATTTATTTGGTGTTAAGATTTTTGAATGCTTTATATTCTAGAGATTAGTGCTCTATCTGATGTGCATGTGGTAAAAATTTGCTCCGATTCTGTAGGCACTCTATTCACCTGTTTCTTTTGCTGAGAAGAAGCTTTTCAGTTTGAATCCATCCCATTTATTAATTCTTGGTTTTAATTCTTGCACTGTAGAAGTCTTATTAAGAAAGTCAAGGCCTAATATGACATGATGAAGATTTGGGCCTAATTTTTCTTCTATTAGGCRCAGGATCTCTGGTTTAATTCCTAGGTCTTGATCCACTTTGAGTTGAGCTTCGCGCATAATGAGAGAAAGAGGTTTAATTTCATCTAAAAGTCAATTTAAAAAAAAAAAATTAGTTGTAGATGGAGATAATACCTTTATTTTATTTTATTTATTTATTTATTTTTATGTGGTGCTGAGGATTCAACCCAGTGCCTCAAACATGCTAGGATAGTGCTCTACTACTGAGTTACAGCCTCAGCCCTAAAAGCCAATTTTTTAAAAAAATAGACAATTAAGCTTTGAATTAAGATTAAAATAAATTATTCTTAAAATTAAGAATAAAGGTGGATTTCCTGTA